ACTGACTCACTGACTCACTGACTCACTGACTCACTGACTCACTGACTCACGGACTCACTGACTCACGGACTCACTGACGACTCTACTCTTTCAGCAACCTTTCCTGATTTCGAGATGGCAGCATAGAAAAATGTTTATCACGGTGTACTAACCACCTTGGCTTACATTCATTAGCAGCATTATCCAGGGCCCTAGCCAGTAACAAGTTGAACCGAGCCACTTGCCTCAGTCATTTTTTCGTTTTTTTGTTTGTTTGTTTGTTTTTTTTTAATAGTCATCGTAAACACCGTGAATACCTCAGTCACAACTTTTTCTGGTTACGACCCTGGCATCTACTTCACATATATTTGACATATCTCAGCGGAAGGAATGTAAATAGACATACTGCTGCCACAGATACCCAGAGGCTGACCCCAGTGTATGGCGACTGTAAGCAATAAAAGCACTGACACATATATGTTATGATACACATATACCATACGATAATATATACAAATGTAACATTACCTCTTCAGAGGACCCCTGAAGTAGTTTATGCAATAACCTCTGAACTTTTACTTGCAACTCACTGTCACATGGCATTCTTGAAAGCCGGGCATATGAATGTCATTTAAGCGCGCGATGCTTTGTTCAGTTCACGCGCTGATTAGTTAATGCAAATAGGATGACATCATTGATTGCATTGTCCTCACGTGATAATTAACAAGCGCGAATTTAAGTCGAACATTAACAACGAAAACTGCCCCGATGAACTCGTGAAAGGCGGAGCGATGGATGCGGTACCCAGCAGCCGTTTTCTCAAGCTCGTAGCGTTGGGTTGCGGGGTATATGTGGCGAGGGAATTGTGCGTTATGTTCCTCGTGAAACCATGGAACAGGGAAGAAAATGGTTACGAAAGACCGCCACCTCGAGGAAATTATCCTGACCTGCGCCTCCATAACAATTTGATGGCGAATCACCTCACGCCAGAACTTTACGAGTCGTTGAGGTAAACAAATAACACAGACTGAGAAGTGATGCAAGTGATTTTCGTCACGCTTTTAGAGCGATTTTCAGATGTGTAGTATTGGGCGCGAATGCATATAAATGCTGAACCCTTTCATTTTCCTATTTCAGCTTCGCAATAAAATATTGGAAGGCAGACATGTGACAAAAGAAAAACATTTTTGTCAGCTAGCTAAGAGGATAATCATGATGGAACAATAGATTCTCAGAAAAAAAAGGTGTGACAGTCAAAATGTGACAGTCACTTCGGAGAATTAAAAAATAGTAGGAAATATATTCAATGTTTGCCGTGTGTGACCGGCCAAATGCATCACATGGAAGTCGCAAATAATTTAAGTATAAGTTCGTTTTTATATTTTTCCTCGTATCCCATGGTTGACACCAGTGTTTTTTTTGTCCTACATTTTATACTAAGTAAAGAAATTTTAATTAATCAGACAGTGATTTTACATTTCTCGTTTCATTTTTGTTTGGTTTAATAGTTTCTGTTATCTTGTTAACCTTGAAAAATTGAACTGTGAGCTTCCGGGGCAGTTCTGGAAACCTTATTTGGGAGAACCTTGCGTTTCGCTGTAATTTAGTCTATCAATACTGTCTGAATCGGTAATGAAACAAAGCAAAGTCGCAAAGCGTGCTTGAGCAGGTTCGTAAAATTATCATACGGCAAAAAGACGTTTCATTTCATCATTCGACCTCTGAAAACTGAAAGTTTGTAGTTTCAGATTTCAGTTTTATGTTCTAGGAGAATAAAAGCGGAAAAAAACTTCATTTTCGAATTAAGAAGACATTTTTAGAACTTACAAGATGCGCTCACGGAGATCGCGCATTTTAGGACGAGTACAAATGCAGTTATAATATCCGTCTTTAAGAACAAAATTTCTTTCTCTGCTTCAGGAAGAATGGCAAGCATTCCGACGAAATTGCAAAGAAAATAGCCTGTTCACAGCTGACCGCTCTACTCACGCACCAGGGGGCTAAACTTGAGCACACTCATAAGTAAAAGTCAACTTAACAAATATTTGTAAATATTTTCGGAGTTGCGACAATGTTTTTAGAAATGGGTGTTCGTTATTTTTCATAGGTAAAATTTCGCTCTTCATTCTTACGAATATTTTGTTAAAATTGACCATTTCAAAGATAGAGCGAATAATTTACCTCAGAAAGGTTGACCTTCAGTATTTCAATAGTTATTGAAATATTGAAGGCTGAAGACCGGGTGCGTGTTTATCGACAAGTACGCGAAAAAAGTCTGTTAACAAAGTACATACTCACTTGTTATCATAAGTGGACTAAGTGTATTGGGACACTTATTTATTGAATCTGCAAACCATGTGGTATATTTAGCCCGACTTCTTTAAAAACACCTTTGGCACTAAAATATGTTTTCGTTTGTTTCTCTGATGTTAAAAATCTGAACAGGCATCTGACAACAGCTAGCGGTTTCACCCTTGACCAAGCTATTCAAGTCGGTGTAGACAACCCTGGGGTGCCTTGGCAACGAACATCCGGGATCATAGCAGGAGACTGTGAGTCATACGAAGTGTTTGCACCTTTATTTGACGCCATTATTCAGGAATGTCATGGACACAAGAAAAATGATTTCCACCCAAGAGACATGGACAGCCGAAAGATTATTGATGGTCAACTGAACAGTGAATATGTGTTGTCTGCTCGATTGCATACACGGCGCTCCATCCGGGGCTATTGTTTACCAGCAGCGTGCTCCCGGGGCGCCAGAAGGAACCTCGAGGGTCTCATTCGTATGGTGTTCATGCGACTGGGAGGTGAGTGGAGTCAAGGTGAGGGACACTAATAGGGTGTTTCTAAGTTAGTCTCAGAGAAGTCCTTTGTAAAATGAGTCAAGAATTGTATACGTTTTATTTTATAATTGGGCTACTTTTATAAAATTAATATTCCTGATTATATCCAGCAGTTTCCAGAAACCAAAAATACAGTGGAATCCCGAAACTTGATTAAAAAAAATCGGGTACACGTAGTTCGTTAAATAAGTCGAGGGTGAAATTCTGACGCTGTTCCACTGAGGGGCGGGAAACGACGCTTGGTTCGAGTTATCGGGAGGGTGGAAAAAAATTGGGTACTTCGTTTAACCTTGGTTGCCTCTTTATTTTATGCTTTCAGTCTGGTAGACCCCCGTTCTTCTTTCCAGTCTCTTCTCTCACGCTCCAGTAGTCCTGTCCCATCTCGTTCTTTCTTTTTAACTTTTCCGGCTCCTTTGTTTGTCAGAAAATCTAGCAGGAGGTAAATTCTTATGATTTCAAGACCCAATATTACACGTTGCTTTATTTCCGTGTTCTATTTATTCTTTTTCGGCATTTCTCGTCTTAATTTTCAGGTGAGTTTGAAGGCGAATACAAACCCCTTTCTGAGTTTTCAGAGCCAAACAATTCAGTTAATGTTTCATGTCAACCCACGTCACCGCTAATCACGTGCTCTGGGCGTGCTCGTGACTGGCCCGAGTCACGTGGTATATTTCGCAACAAGGATAACACCTTCGTTGTGTTCGTCAATGAAGATGATCACGTGCAGTTCAGGTGCTTCGACAAAGGAGGCAATTTGCAAGGCGTATTTGATAAGTTGATTAGGGGCATGGCAGCGTTTGAGAGAGAGCTGAAGAAGTCTGGAGAGGAGTTTTTGTGGGACGATCACCTTGGTTACATAGTGTCAGACCCAATCCACCTCGGCAATGCGCTTGACGTCAGAGTGCGCGTCAAACTGCACCATCTTTCGACGGTGAGGCATTAGTACTGTAAGTGTTGTTTTAAGTATATCGTTCGTTCAAGCGAAATCCTTCGGCGACAGAAGGAATGCTATATTTATGGCGGGCTTCTGTCTAGTGCAATGTAGCTGTAGGCAGATGCTGATCACCGAGGGATCTGATGAATAATAATATCAATTTCCAAAGAAACAAGCGTTAAAACTAAACGGTCGTCAGAAAGCCTAGTCGAGGCAGAGTCATAATCGGCCTTGGTGTTATAGGATCAAATGTATGAAGAAAAGGGAAAGTAAACGTCTTATCGCAAAGAGGTTTCAGATGCATTATTGTTTCTGCGATATATTGCGATTCAGTAGTAAAGCTGATGGCATGACCTCCTCTGTCTCCTAGGACCCAAGGCTCCGATGGATACTTACATCGTATAAACTCGAGAAGAGAAGAGCTGGTATGTACTAACAATGCAACTCTTTCTTAATGAAAAGAACAATTCTCCTTACCGCAAGATAATCGTATAATGCATACACTAGCCATGTTCTAACTAAACGAGAAAGGGACTGGGTGGGAGGGACAGCTAAACTGCACCAGGCGTCCCTCCAAACCATACAAAGCTCTCTTAAAGCGTAGCTTTTCAAAAGTGTATTACATCTTTGCGTTTGAACCAAAAACATCGACATTTGGTAAACTTACCAACTTTCAGATGCTCTTTTAGGTACCAGCAATTGAGGCTCAGTTTTTCAAATTAAGCGACTTTAAATATTCCCACCCAGTCCCTTAGATTGTCGCAGCATCAAACTATTTTCCCCTGGCTGATTTTTTTTTTTCAATTCTTCTTACATGTCTTATCGATAAACTAATGCTGTTGAAAGGAGAATCTTAATGTTGATCGCATGTTTTTTTCTTCAGGGATCTCTGAAGGGGAACTACTGTCTGGAGTCATGTACATCCACAGCACCCAGACACTTGGTGTAAGTGAGGTATGTCACTTTGGGAAGCAAGTAGAGAGAAGTTTTGTTGTGACTGAAGTTTGGTTTGTGATCATATAACTTGCGCTCTAATTGATTGTGCTGTCGTTTTGCCCGTGACTACTTAAATACAATTTTACTTATCATTGGCTTTCGTTGCCTTTGTCTTATGTTTAAAAAAAGAATCAGCTGCTTGTTTTTGACATAGCTTGACGCGCACAAACCAGAAAGTTTAGGGAAGTGGTAATTAATAATTAAAATTTAAACCGTCTACTGGGGCTGAAGTTTTTCTAGAAACTTCTAATACTGGGGAGCTTTCTCTCACGTGTGTATCAGATTCTGTTAAAATACGAGACACTTTCTAGACCTTAAATATAAACAAAAGATGCGAATGATCGATTTTACAGAACTTGCAACTGTGGCGGTGGTGACCCTAAAATGAACGAAGTTGTTTTCAAACTTGTGTAAATTTGGACCTGCAATATATTAGACGAAACGGTCCGAAGAAAATGAAGGAGTTCATCCATGTTCATGTTTTATTACTCCCTAGGTACATTCTGTCCAGCGGTTATGTGATGGTGTTAATCGACTCATAGAGCTAGAGCGCATGCTTGAACGAGGAGAAGACATCGATAACGCTTTGCCTACGCCCCAGATTCCGCGCGGCCAATTTGAATTCAAGTTATAGGAACTTGTGTTTAATATATCGGAATGCTAATTAAGTTTTTTTTTCATGTCATTGAGTCGGAGAGGACAAAAAGAGTATTAAGAAAATATTGTCTTTTCGTACCTTACTTTCTTACTATATACGGCAAAACTGTGGGATCGTTCACTCAAAGCCATTATTTCACAGAACATGCGTGTTGTAAATTTAACTGGTCCAACAAAATTAGAAGAAGAAGAGAGGAGAAGCATTAAAGAAGTGTTTATTATTTATCTTCAGTTGTTCTGTTTTGGGGGGAGCGAAATATCTTTAATGTAGTCACGCATGACTATGGATCAATTAGTAAAAAGGTCAGTAGAATTTATTGTTGTTTGGTTCTGGTCTGAAGAAACAAACACGAGCCCGTAGTTTTGGGTCAGTGCCGTTGCTGAGTGACATATAACGCATGCGCATTTCGTCTGGCGAGTCCCATGGCTTGTCTTGTCTGTGTCTAGTAAAGTAAGAAAGCTTGTTTGCTTTTACTTCTTCTGGTTGAATAAAACATGAGGTCGAGCTGCAAACGGTATTCAAAGTGTCCTGTATAAGACCTGGACTTAGAGCCCATTTATTGACGAAAGGCACTTCCATCTCTAATTTTTACCAGGGCTGGTTAGCTTTGCATGATCATTTAGGTTGCCTTTTTAATCAGTTTTGTTGTTGCAAAGGTAACTCTAGAGTAGTACTAGCTGCTCTTTCACGTTTGTCACTAAGCAACGTCTGCTTAGCAACTTGGCCTACCAAAACCGTGGGCTTACCCATGGGTAGGAAATGATACTCTGACATATTAGTTTCTCATACTGACTATGCACATGAAGTTCTCGTGTTGACACAGGTACGAGGTGAATTGAAGTCCTTTGGAGAAGTTAATTATTCTAGCGTTGAACTGAAAGGTAACCAAAACGCTGGAAATAAAGTGTACTTGGTAGAGACTTTTTAAAAAGAAAGAATGATGAAAGGAATGTAATTATTGCACACTCGCCGCTAAGACCACACGTACTTCGGCAAAGTTTACATACTTGGCTGGCTATGAGATCATCGTGTCACATTAAAGC